GTTTCGCCCACAAAATATACAGTCAATTACGGTATATTCCGTGAAGCGCTTTGAGACGTCTCGAAGATGTGATAAGCCGCTGTATCAAAGGCAAGGATTATTACTATTATTATCAACACCATGTGACCCACTTGGGCGAGAGGAACCGGGAGCTAGGAATGTTTGACCGGGGGTGACTGTCTGAGCCCAGGTCACCACAGCCCAGTGAGATCTTGGCCGCTGCTCTGTGGCTCAGCTCCTCTCACCACGACCAGGTCAGGTCTCAGGTCACTTTACTTGTCAGCCTGGCTCAGTCAGTAGCACTGTCGCCTCCGAGTTAGAAGTTTGTAGGTTCCAGCCCCACTTGGGTCTTTGAGCTTGCAGTCTCGGCTGACTCCACTCCAGTGCAATGCTGGGGGTGAGCTACATGAGAAGGGAGTCTCTCACTAGGAGCCGATTGTACTTTTTAAATGTTTGAAAAGCATCAAAACAGCTTCACTTTCCCCAAAGGCAAAGTGACTGCACTTTACACTCTGTCTTGGGAAGCACTCAGAAACACCCTGATGTGAAAGGCTTATTGTTGTTATTATTATTTTCTCTATATTTATATGGTGAGACATTTGACAAGTGAATTGATAACTTGAATCCTATGGGAGGAGGGGAACCAGCCCCCAAGATGTTCACTCGTTTATTAAACAGTGACGGAGTTTGTAATGCCCCTGTTCTCCCCCTTTTCACCATTCCCATCACGCAATAAGTCTAAGTGTTTATCCATTTAGCTTTCAAGCATCTCAACGCTCGGCAGCTCATGCCCCCAAAGTAGTCACATTACACAATGTTCAGCCCCAGCAGCTGAGAAGGTTTTTTTTTAATCAAGGAAGATACTCTGGGCCCAATGGCTCAGAGTATAAATTGTGCCCTACACAGCAGCCATTGTGCTGAGTGAGTGGGTACATAGACTGTCCGGAGGGGGCGAAAAGAATGAGCTACAGGCGTTTGTCCAGTACGATCAGCAAAGGGGGGGCACCAGGTGTCTGTGTGGGGACTGGTGTGTGTGGGGACAGTTTTATTTATGGTCAGCGGGGTGTCTGACCCGGCTGACTGGTGGAAACCCATCAACATCCTTAAGAGTATCCAAACCAAGCTGGGAATTCCATGCATCCCACCTACACATGGAAATTCCATAACAATAATAATAATAACACTCCATCACCAACACCTGGGATATTAGTGCTGTCTCGGTGCTCACCACCTGACACCCAATCCCACTGCGTCTGACAGGCCTAAGTTAGTTATCAGACCAAAGGACTGAAATTCCACCTGATCTTAGCCTGTAAGTCCATTTATTTCACCAAATAGTGAAACAACTAATTTCAACTGTAATTTCTTTTTAAGAATTGTGAAAATCAAATGAGTGGCATTTCACATCTGTTGGAATATGATAACACATAGAAGGTTTTAAGGCAGGAATGCATGAAAATTATGATCATTAAAAGTTACTAATCTGGTTCCCAGGAGTCAAAATGGCAGGAACAACCATTTTGCACTCCAGCTAACAAGCTGTTTCGTTTCAAGAAGAAATGGTCAGTCAGCGGAACGTTGGAGTAGGAAAGCGGATAGCTTTGAGAGGAGAGTAGGCTGACAGCGCCAAGATAGTCATACATTCCTTTAACAAAGCTTAGTAAAACAACCCTATCCTCCTTTAAACATCTGCCAATTCTACTAATTGTACAGGCACTGAGGTTTATTGCGCAAGTTGCTCTGTATCAAAAGCCACAATTATTTTTTTAAAAAGGAGAAGTTTGGTGCCAGTCATACAGTGCAACTATGACACACTCACGGTTGGTCGAATGAGCAACACCTGCAAAGCCTGAGTACTTGGCAGGCCTTTGATTGGGGGATCTAATGGGAAGAACGCTTAGGCCGTTCTAACATAGAACTAACATAGCATTAAGCAAACTAGGCAGCAGATCAGCCAAGTGAAGATGTGCAGGGGCCAATACCGCTGACTGCTCCAAAACCGGTAGTTTACGATTGTTATTTTTAATCTGTTTGTTTTATATGTATTATCCTGATCGATAAATCTCTATTATACCTTTCTTGGATTGTCAAGTCATTATTCGAGCTGGGGGTCAGAAATCCCAACACAACAGCAACAACCACTTGGATTTATATAGCGCCCCCCACGCTGGATGGCGTTTCAGAGCGCTTTACAGTAACGGATCCCGGGGCCGAGCGAGGGAGAGGGTGGGGGGGGGAAGGTGACCAAAGGCGCGGTCGAAAAGAAAGGTCTTCAGCAGAGACCTGAAAATAGAGAGGAGACGAGATGAAGGGAGTGAGGAAAGGAATTCCAGAGCCTCGGAGCACAGCTGCCGAGGGTGGAGTGGAGGACTCGGGGGATGCGGAGGAGGCCAGACCCGGAGAAACGAAGGCAATGGCTACTGTTTTGAGGAGAGAGGAGGTCAGAGAGGTCGGGGGTGCAGATGAGTGGAGGGATTTGAATACAAGGGTGAGGAGCTTGAAGTCGATCCACTCTGGGACAGGGAGCCAGTGCAGTCTGGCAAGGACTGGGGTGATCGGGGAGCGGAGTTTTGTGTGGGTGAGAATGCGAGCGGCAGAGTTCTGAATGATTTCGATTTTATGGATGGTGGTGAATGGGAGACCGGCGAGGAGGGCATTAGAATAGTCCAGCCGAGAGGTGACAGAGGCATGAACTAGGGTTTCAGCGGCTTTCGGAGAGAGGTATTGGCGGAGACGGGCGATGCTTCGGAGGTGGAAGAAGGCGGTGCTGGTGAGGAACCGGATTTGGGGGAGGAAGGATAATTGGGGGTCGAACCTGATGCTAAAGTTGCATACAGGTTCAGAGAGTTTTAGGGGGAGATCAGATAGGTGAGGAGGTGAGAATCGTGAGATTTGAGATGTTGACGAGAGCCAAAGAGTATGGCTTCCATCTTGTCGACTTTCAACTGAAGGAAATTTGCGCTCATCCAGCCCCTGAGATCTGACAGGCAGCTGACAGAACATCAGGGGACTGGGGGTCGCAAAGAGAGGTGGAAAAATAGAGTTGGGTGTCATCCGGGTACATGTGGAAATGTACCCCATGTCTGCGGATGACATCCCCAAGAGGGAGCATATAGTTCAGAAAGAGGAGGGGGCCAAAGATGGATCCTTGGGGGACCCCACAGGTGACCGGGTGAGAGCGGGAGGAGGAGCCGTTTGTGCAGATGTACTGCTGGCGGTTTGTGAGGTAGGACTCGAACCAGGCGAGTGCGGTCCCACTGAGGTGGATGACAGAGGAAAGGCGGTGGAGGAGGATGGAGTGATCGACTGTGTTGAACGTGGCAGAGAGGTCCAGGAGGACAAGGAGGCAGAGAGAGCCCTGGTCACAGATAGAGAGGATGTCGTTTGTGACTTTCACAAACGCAGTCTCTGTGCTGTGGGTGGAAACCGGACTGGAGGGGTTCAAAGAGGGAGTGGGAGGAGAGGTATGCGCGAAGTTGATTGGCAACAACGCGTTCTAGGACTTTTGCGAGGAAGGACAGGTTAGAAATAGGATGGAAGAGGCTGGGGTTTGAGGGATCTCGGGAAGATTTTTTCAGGAGGGGGGTGATGACAGCGCTTTTGAGTGGGGCAGGGACTGATCCAGAGGAGAGGGACTGGTTAATAATGTCAGCCAGTAGTGGGCAGAGGAGGGGGAGCTGTGTGACCAGTAAGTTGGTGGGGAGGGGGTTGAGGCAGCAGGTGGTGGGTTTCATGAAGGTGATGGTGGGTGAGAGGGAGGAGGGAGAGATGGGGAGGAAGGAATGTACGATGGGGTTGGTAGTAGGAGCAGATGATGAGGAGGGTGAGGGGGACAGAGAGGGTGTGGTCTTGGGTGACAAAAGGCAGGTGGATGAGGCTGCCTGGCGGATGTTGTGAATTTTAGATGAAAAGAAGTCCATGACCTCCTTGCACTTGGCGTTTGATACGAAGATTGAGGAGGCCTGAAGGGGGGCACGGAGGAGGTAGTGGGTGGTGGAGAAAAGGATTTTAGGGTTGTGTTTAGCTTCCAAGAAGATGTTGGAGTAGAAGACCGTTTCTGCGCGTGTCAAAGAACGGCGGTAGCTGTGGAGATGCTCGAGCCACAGTTGGCGGTGGACTGTCAGGCCAGTTTTCCACCATCTGTGCTCGAGCAGCCGGGTTTTGGTTTTTAGGGAGCGGAAATGTTTGTTGTACTAGGGGGATTGGGTGGGTTTGGAGAAAGTCCTGGATTTCAGGGGGACGAGGGAGTTGAAGGAGAGGTGATCATGGAGCAGCTGGATGGCTTATTCACAATCTCCGCAGGTGGAAGGTCAGATGGATAGGATGTTTGATGAAGTGAGGGCCTTTGTGAGGGTCTCAGGGGGTAGCCTTTTCCAAGGGCGGTAGAGGATGGTTGAGGGCTTGGTGGAGGAGAGAGGGATGTGGAGTCCTGTAGCTCAGTGGTTAGAGCACTCGCTTTGCCAGTGAGAGACCGGAGTTCAATCCCAGGCAGAGGGCGAAACCTTGGGCAAATTTCCTTACTCCACACAGAGCCTAATTATAATCCCTCCAAAAACAAAACAATAATAAATTGGTCATTTTCAATCTACGACGGTTTGTGGGACATTGCTGTGCGCAATTGGCTGCCGCGTTCGCCCACAAATATACAGTCAATTCACTTTACAGTGTGTTCTGCGAAGCGCTTTGGGACGTCCTCCCGACGTGAAAAGTGCTATATAAAATGCAAGGATTATTATTATTATTATTATTATAAGTATACAGTCAATTTACTTTACAGCATATTCTGTAAAGCGTTTTGAGACGTCGAGAAGACGTGAAAAGCGCTATATCAAATGCAAGGATTATTATTATTATTATTATTATTATAAGTATACAGTCAATTTACTTTACAGCATATTCTGTAAAGCGTTTTGAGACGTCGAGAAGACGTGAAAAGCGCTATATCAAATGCAAGGATTAGTATTATTATTATTACACTTAACCTGCCGCTTACCTTTCAGAACTCTTCCTGATCCAGAAAGAAGAATCGTGCTGCAATGAGATGCTATTGGAAGCGAGCAGTAACCAGTGGCTCTTTGCTGTTTCTTTGTCTCTTTGTTTACCTTTGTCTGAGGGATGAGGAGCCCAAAATATTGGTAAGTGTTCGTGGTCATTCTGGAGAGACTCAATGGGCTTGAAACCCACCAGTCCCTTGGGACGGATGACAGGGAGATACGGCAGGAGATTGTGCAGCTGTGACAGACATCATGAATAATAACTTGCACTTATATAGCGCCCTCCATGCAGGGTAGCATCTCAGAACGCTTAACAGTGGCGGTGCCTGACTCCAAGTTGGGGGGGGTTGGGGTGAGGTTGGGAGATGCCCGTAAGCACGGTCGAAGAGGAAGGTTTTCAGGCAGGACTTGAAAAGGGGGAGAGAGAGGGCAAGGCGGAGGGATTGAGGGAGAAACGGATGCCCCAAATGCCGCAGTATTGGATGAGAGGGTAGAGGACATAAATCAGATTACTATAGACAGAGAGGAAGTTCTGAAATGATTGACTGGGCTCAACATTGTTAAGTCACGAGGACCAGATGGGTTTCTCCCACGGTGCTGTGGGAGATACGGGTTCAAATAGCGGAGGCTTTGGCCATTATATTTCAATCGTCATTGGACACAGGAGTGGTGCCAAGAGACTGGAGAGTGGCTAATGTTACCCACTCTACAAAAAGGGGCAGAAAGACAAACCTGGAAATTACAGGCCGGTCAGCCTAACTTCGGTAGTAGGAAAGCTACTGGAGACCATAATCCGGGACACAATAAATCTCTACTTAGAGGAACATGAGGTAATTAGAGATCCCCAACATGGATTTGTTAAAGGCAAATCTTGCCTAACAAATCTAATAGAATTTTTTGAAGAGGTGACTGCGAGGGTTGATGAGGGAAATGCGGTGGACGTTATTTACATGGATTTCAAAAAGGCTTTTGACACAGTCCCGCATAAGAGATTAATAAAAAAATTAGAGGCCCACAGTATTAAGGGGACAGTGGCAGTTTGGATTAAGAACTGACTGAGTGACAGAGCAGAGGGTGGTGGTTAATAGGTGTTTCTCGAAATGGAAAAGGTGTGCAGCGGTGTCCCCCAGGGATCAGTATTGGGACCACTGCTCTTTCTAATCTATATTAATGATCTGGACTTGGGCATAGAGAGCACTATTTCCAAGTTTGCAGATGGTACAAAGTTAGTAAATAGTGAGAAGGACTTTAACCAACTGCAGGCAGACATACACAAAATGGTGGAATGGGCTGACATGTGGCAGATGGATTTCAATGTTGATAAGTGTGAGGTGATACACTTAGGGAGGAAAAATGATAGGAGGCAATATAGACTTGGGAGCTCAATCTTAAGGGGGGTGAACATACAGAGAGATCTGGGTGTTCCAGTAAGCGATTCATTAAAGGTAGCGGAGCAGATAGATAGGGCAGTAAGAAAGGCATTTGGTGTACTGAGCTTTATTAGTAGGGGCATAGAGTATAAGAGTAGGGAGGTTATGGTTAACCTATACAAAACACTGGTTAGGCCTCAGCTGGAGTACTGCGTCCAGTTCTGGGCACCTTACTTCAGGAAGGACATTAAGGCACTGGACAGGGTGCAGAGGAGATTCACGAGAATGATACCAGGAATAGGGAACCTTAGCTATGAGGACAGTGGAGAAGTTAGGACTTTTTCCATTAGAGCAGAGAAGGTTACGCGGGGACCTGATAGAGGTCTTCAAGATCATGAAAGGTTTCGACAGGCGAGATAGGGAAAAGCTGTTTCCGCTGATAGGTGTGTCTGTGACTCGTGGTCACAGTCTTAAGATATCTACCAAAAGAAGCAGAAGGGAGGTTAGAAGAAATTTTTTCACTCAGCGAGTTGTTCGAATTTGGAATGATCCGCCCGAAAGGGCAGTGAAGTCCGATTCGATAACAGCTTTTAAGGGAGAACTGGACAGGTATCTGGGGAAGACTTGCTCTGTCAAAGAGCCGGCACAGACTCGATGGGCCGAATGGCCTCCTTCTGTGCCGTAACATTCTATGAATCTATGAATAAGTCGAGCATATGCCAGTGGGAGAGCATCTGGACAACAGTGATCACAATACCATCAAGTTTAGTATCGTTATGAAATGGGACAAGGTGAAGATCCCCAACTGGGAGAGGGTTAATATCAGAGAATTGAAAAGGGATCTGGCCCATGCGGATTGGAAACAAAGATTCAGATTTTCCACTCTGGCTATCACTTCAGCCACTCTCCTATCCCCTACCCCGTCTCCTCCAACCCCCAGCTCGGATCCAAATCTTTACAGTGGCTTCTGTGAAGCGCTTTGGGATGTCCTCTCGACGTGAAAAGCGCTATATCAAATGCAAGGATTATTATTATTATTAAATCCCTGACCGTCCAGCGCCTTGGGATGTCCTCCCGTCACGAAAGGCTCCGTGTAAATGTAATTTATTGTTGTTGTTTATCCAACACAGTCATGTTTACACATAGCTCACACTAGCCCGTGTATGCTCTCTGTGCTGTAGTATAGGATCGCTGGGCTAGGAAGGAAAATCACTGAGGTTTTCAGTTACTGACTGTCCGTTTATGCCCAGGATACAAAACAAAATTACATTTGCATAGCACTTTTCACATCGGGAGGACATCCCAAGGCGCTGGATGTGCCCAGGTTCGGCTCCCATGGCCTCCCCACCACTTCTCTTCCTCACACCGATTGTTTATAGGCATTTCGTGTTGTTGCAGGAAAAAGACAGGAGGTTGGCCAGAGAACTGGCCATGCAGCAGCTCTACTCTGAGAGGAACGGGCAGAGCTTCAGGGAGCTGCTCAACCTCTCCTCAACCATCAACATCACCTATCAGTACCTGGCGGGTTTTCCTGTGCTGAGAAAGAGTAAGTCAGACCGAACTTATTTGGAACTGTGGGTTAGAGGAAGGTGTAAGAATTCTGTCATGTATCGGCCCGGGATCAGTCAGCACCTTGTCAGTGCCTCAGAGGCAAGTGTACTACCAGCTGAGCCAAACTGACCCTCAAATACAGTCACTACATTTAACAGTAATTACTGTGAAGGGTAATACTGTGCTGTATCAAAGCTATTATTATTGTTGTTATAAATTGCCTGAGAATGTTGAGGGCCAGCTTCACAGGGTCTTTATTGCTAAGTATTTTGTACATTCATCAAGGTAAGAGCTTCCATTCCCCGTGCTGAATACAATAAAACCCACACAATATCAGTCAGGACCCTCACATTCAATATGACTTACGTGATACAGGCAAGTCCGAGATACAGGCAAACTGCACAAGTCATAAAAAATCCAATTTAATCAATAATCGACGCTGTGCATGTCAATTCACTGCAGCCGGTAATTGCGGATGTGGTGACTGGTCAAGATCCGAGATTGTGTGTGTGTGTGTGTGAGTGTATTTGTGTGAGTGTGTGAGTGTTTGAGTGTGTGTGCGTGTGTGGGTGTATTTGCGTGTGTGGGGTATGTATTTGTGTGTTTATGTGTGTGGTAGCGTGTGTGGGTGTATTTGCATGTGTGTGTATGTGTTTGTGTGTGTGTGTGTGTGTGTGAGTGTGTGTGCGTGTGGGTGTATTTGCGTGTGTGTGTATGTGTTTGTATTTGTGTGTGTGTGTGTCTGTGAGTGTGTGTGCGTGTGTGTGTGGGTGTATTTGCGCGTGTGTGTATGTACTTGTGTGTTTATGTGTGTGTGAGTGTGTGTGTTTGTGTGTGTGTTTGTGTGTGTGCGTGTATGGGTGTATTTGTGTGTATGTATTTTGTCTCCACACAGAGCCTAATAATAATCCCTCTAAAAACCAAAAACAATAATAAATTGGTCATTTTCAATCTAAGACTGTTTGTGGGACATTGCTGTGCGCAATTGGCTGCCGCGTTCGCCCACAAATATACAGTCAATTCACTTTACAGTGTGTTCTGTGAAGCGCTTTGGGACGTCCTCCGGACGTGAAAAGCACTATATCAAATGCAAGGATTATTATTATTATTATGTATTTTGTGTGTTTATGTGTGTGTGAGTATTTGTGTGTGTGCGTGTGTGGGTGTATTTGCGCGTGTGTGTGAGTGTGTGTGTTTGTGTGTGTGTATATATTTGTGTGTGTGTGTGTCAGTGTGTGTGTGGCTCTGACTCCGGTGGTCTGTGATACAGTATAAAGAGTTTTGAGCTGTGTTGTTTTGTGCTGTGTTGTGTTTCTCTGGCTCTCAGTGCCATTGCTGGTGATGATGAATATTCCTGTCTTTACAGAGTTTCTGGCTGTCGGACTTTCCTCAGTCAGAAGGAAACGAGGCAATTACTTGCAGGAAACCCTGAAGTCCATCTTCACACAATCCACCAATGAGGAGCTCCTGGACATGGTGGTGGTGGTTCACTTGGCAGACTTCGACTTGGGCTGGAACACACAAGTGGTGCTCAAAATCACCCAGAAATTTGCTCACCACATTATCTCAGGCCGCCTGATAATCATCCACGCCCCCGAGCAGTACTATCCCCCGCTGAAAGGGTTAAAACGAAACTACAATGATGAGGATGATCGAGTGACATTCAGGTCCAAACAGAACGTGGACTACGCCTTCCTGATGAACCTCTGTGCCAATTTATCGGATTATTACTTGATGCTGGAGGACGATGTTCAATGTTCTCACTCCTTCCTAAGTGCAATTAGAAAAGTGCTGGCTTCCAAGGAGGGGTCTTACTGGGTGACACTGGAGTTCTCTAAGCTGGGCTACATTGGCAAGCTCTACCACGGGTCTGACTTGCCCAGGCTGGCTCACTTCCTGCTGATGTTTTACCAAGAGATGCCGTGCGACTGGCTGCTCAATCACTTCCGAGGCCTCCTCACCCAAAAGGATGTCATCCGTTTCAAGCCGTCCCTGTTCCAGCACATCGGCTATTACTCCTCCTTCAGAGGCACCGAGAATCGCCTGAAGGACGACGACTTCGAGGAAGATTTCTTTGACATCCCAGACAATCCTCCAGCGCACATCTACACAAATCTCAAAGTGTTTGAAAATTATAATCCCACCAACGCCTACAGCAACAGTGAGGAGTATTTCTGGGGCAAATCCCCCTCTGCTGGGGACTATTTCACGATTGTATTCACAAAGACAGTCAACATTAGCCGAATCCAGGTCGTGACGGGCTTGGTGGAACGGCAGAACGATGTCCTCAATGCTGGGATTCTTGAGATTGGGAAGCATCAGACAGTGACACTGAGCGGGCAAGACTGCTCACACTATGTCCAGCTTGGGGAGTTCCAAAAAGGTCGATATGATCAGAAGGGTCTCGACACCGCTGCTGGTAACGAAGTGCAATGTGTGCGGATCCGCATTACCAAGAGCCAAAACGACTGGCTGATTATCAGAACCATAAACATCTGGTCGAAGCACAGCTAGCCCACATGAAGGCTCTCTCATCCTGCATTGAAGACAGAGCCTCACAGTGTCTCACACCACGACTCACACTATAACTCGCACTGCAATCCTTCCCCACGTGCTTCATGTGTGAGCATAGACGCTGACAGCACCTTAGACCATGGAGAAGGAATGGAGGAATCACAGTCTGATCTGATCCTTCAGTCAGCTGATGATCAACAGCAGCTTGCATGTATATAGCACCCTTGTTGTGGAGTAGGCTGACAGAGCGCTGAATTCATCCACACATCAACTTCCCCAAAGATCCCTCCCCCAATTACAACCAGAGGCTAATCACTTTACTAACAGAACGTGCAGCATGTTGCACAGCGTGTCGCTGTGCATATAGATATATATTCCAGCACTTGTGTAATGAATGCCACCCTCTCATTTACTTGGACTGCTTGCTGTTCCTAGTGAATTAGATTTTAATGATCTATGAAATCAAGCCACTGGATCTATCCCTGCTTATTTATCTCCCCCTCCAGTGTTTAGACCATATATAGACTATTTGTATACCATATATAGACTAGGATAGACCATAGAAATCGCTATTTCCATCCCAAGTGAACTACCTCACACTTTCTGATTTGCTAAACTCCATCCGCCATAGTTCTGCTTCATTTTACTGTGTCTTTTTCTGATTTGTTTTGCCTGTCTTCGTAATTTAGAATACCTCCGAGCTTAGTCATTCACAAACCCAGAAACAAAGCAGTCTATTTATTTGTCCAGGTCAGTGATGTACTGGACAGCACGAGAAGCTGGGCCTCAGCACCCACTCAATAATCACAGAACCTCCCTTTTTTATCAACCCTACGTTTCCAGTTTCCCAACCAATTGCCTTCAACTCAATGTGTGCCTTAATGTCATCCAACAATCTCTTCATAGCTTTATAGCTGCAGCGAGGTGTGGGGGTGAGAGCTGCAGCGAGGTATGTGCCTTCTGAAAACCCATCTCCATGACATTATCCCCCTTTATATTTCTGTCGAACCCTAGGATAGACTTGTGAGATGTGGTCCACCTTCACAAAACCATGAGACTCACTGATCTGTGTATATTTATCTCACTTATTCTGTCTCCTATGATAGATTCCATTAAAGAGTGAGGTGAGGGGGGTTAATAAATGGAGAGCAGTAGTGGTTGGGGGGGATTTTTATTGAGTAATGGCTATGAAAGCAGACGGAGAATCAAATAAGTCTTTGCCTGTAATATTGTTGCCAGCTCTGAGCACAGGAGGAATTCTAACCTGAAGTTGCTGTAGCAAACAGCACCAACATCTCTCATTATAACATGCGGGTTTCTGATCATGATGTTGTGACTGTGATGGTGACACATGACTGGTTCTGAGGAAAAGTCGTTTCCTTTGGGAATGAATCTTCAGGAAATATACGGGAGAGTTTAGAAGGTCTTTGTGTATTTGTTGTATTTGCACTGTCATTTATGAATTGAAGCACAATCTGCCTTTCTTGCACTGTTAATAACCACTGCTGTTCTGTCAACGTTGAGCACAATGAATGAAGTGCGGTCACCTCACAAGCGAGAGGACCTGGGTTCTTGCTCTTCACTTTGAGACAGTAAATCACTCCACTGAGAACATCTCACTTTAGCTTGTTTTAAATTGTAAACAAAATGTGGTGGTGAAAGTTTTTCTCTCTTTAAGCTCTTGAGGGCGTTCCCCGTGTTTGAAGTTGCACTGAAAATGTACAGAAATAAAATCATTTGTTGATTACTTGTATTTTTACTTGTATTGTGGACAAGTGTCTCAATAAGAACCTCTCGCTCAACTCTGCCTGTCTTACAGGATGTGACTCATCAACTGGAATAAATAAATCGCCATGAGCTGGGATAACAAAGTATACAGTAAAATGTCTTTATACAAATTTCTCTCTTAAGAGAGAATGTCTGCCTTGGTCCCAGTGGAGTTGGGTGAAATTCAACAAGAACAACAAAATTACATTTATAGAGCGCCTTTCACGTCGGGAGGACGTCCCAAAGCGCTGTACAGTCAACGGTTGGGACCCGGGCATGGGGGAGGGGTGAGGTAGGGGTGAGGGAAGGCAGAGAGGTGGGAGGGCGACCGAAGGCACGATCGAAGAGGAGGCTCTTGAGACCGGCCTTGAAGGAGGCGAGGGAGGAAGCGAGGCAAAGGGACCGTGGGATGGGGTTCCAGAGTGTGGGGGCAGAGAGGCTGAAAGCCCGGCCACCGATGGTAGGGCGGGTCGGGCGGGAGACATGGAGTAGGCCAGAGCCCACTGGACGGAGGGAGTGGGCAGGTTGGTAGGGAGTCAGCAGGTCAGAGAGGTAACTCAAAGAGAAGCTGGAACCTTGAAAAGATGACCTGCTAATCTCATTAAATATGTCGCTGCTCCGAGGAGCTGCTTCTAAATGGGTTTTACTGAGTGCTTCTGGTGTAAACAAACCGCAACAAAAAGCCTGAAGATTTAACAGCATTATAATATATTGAATGTTTCCATAGACTTGTAATTTTGTTTTCCATCTGCAAAATAATTCCTCATCGTCCCTTCCTGCGAATTGCAGGACAGCATTCCTGTGCACTCCACTACAGAACCTCGCTTTGCCAGTTGCCTTCAATCCAACTAAGCCTCCTTGGAAGAAAAGCATCTAACTTGTGAATGTTTTGAATGAGATTGTTCTCAGTAGGACATCAACCAATAATTAAACGTTGTAACAAAATGACTTTGGTTGTAGATTCCGACTGCCTCATTTGTTTAATGGGCAGACAGTATTCAGGACCTCGTCTCTGGGAAATGATATCAGTGGCAGTCAATACGAACATTTGTTTTAGGAACTTTCTGGCAGAATGTTATTCTATTTGTGATTGAGTTTAGCGCGAGAAAGCAAACGAATGAATCTGTTTATCTTCGTCCCTGAAGACATTGTCTCCTTCTGGCGCCAGTTCCAATCGCCAGATCTGTGCCAAGTGACAATTTGTTCACATGCAACCCTACAGTCTGTATAGCACCTTTCACATCGGTGGGACGTTCCAAGATGCTGGACAGTCAGGGATTTGGACTCGAGCAGGTGGCTGGGATCAGGAGGGGTGAAGGGCAGGGAGGGTAGGAGGGAGGCTGATGACTCGGTCGAAGAGGAGGGTCTTGAAATGTGCCTTGAAGGAGGCAAGGGAGGGAGCGAGGTGAAGGGACTGTGGGATGGAGTTCCAAAGGGTGGAAGCAGAGAGTCTGAAGGCCCGACCGCTGATGGTGGGCCGGCCAGATGGGGAAATGTGGAGCAGGCCACAGGCGTAGGAAGGAGCAAGGCCGTGGAGGTTTTGAAGGCAAGGAGGATTTTGAACTCTATCCTATGGGAATGTGGAGCTGGGCGAGGGTGGGGGTGATGGGGTGATGGAGCCTGGTGCGGGAGACGATACGAGCTGCAGAGTTCAGAATCAGGGAAGAGTTGGGGAGGCCAACAAGCAGGGAATTGGTGTAGTTAAGCCGAGATGTAACAAATGCATGCATGAGGGTCTCAGCAGCCGGGAGGTGGGGGGATGGTTGCGGTGGATGGGGAGAGGCAGTGGAGATGTAAATCATGGAGCAACTTAAACGTGAGAGCGAGGGTCTTGAACTTGATCCACTGGAGGACGGGGAGTCAAGCAAGAGTGGTGATGAAGAGCTCACAGAGCCCGGTGAGAGAAAGGACATGTGGAACGGCAAGATTAGTGTGCATTGTGGGGTGATAATATGGAACAACAACAAAATTAAATGTGCATATAGTGCCTTTCACGTCGGGAGGACATCCCAAGGTGCTAGACAGACAGAGTTACAGACCGACCCGAGCTGGGGGTTGGGGTGGGGGAGGGTGATCGAAAGCACGGTCGAAGAGGAGGGCCTTGAGGTGGGTCTTGAAGGTGGCGAGGGAGAGGGTGAGGTGGAGGGACTGTGGGATGGAGTTCCAGCGCGTGGGGGCAGAATGGCGGAAGGCCTGTCCGCCAATAGTGGGGTGAGCGAGGCGGGGGACGTGAAGCAGAGGGTGCGGGCAGGATGGTAGGGGGTTAGGAGGTCGCAGTGGTAGGAGGAGGGGGGGGGGGGGGGGAGAGCAAGACCATGGAGGGCTTTGAAAGTGAGGACCAGGATCTTGGAACTGTATCCTCTGTGTGATGGGAACCCAGTGGGGTCGGGCGAGGATGGGGGCGATGGGGTCACAGCGCGTAGTGCGGGAGCGGACACGCGGGCCGCAGAGCTCTGGGTGATCTGCAGCCTGCGGAGGGGGAGCGCCGGGGTTTCGCTCGCAAGCCGATGTTCTGAACCCGGAGATGTGCGGAGCGGGAAGGACAACGGTAGTAGGGGACGGATAACCGTGTGTGTGTAAAAAAAAAGGTGTGGGAGGAGAGTAGTCTGAATTGGGTTATGGAGAGCCTTCCACCACCTCACCCATTGGACTCAACACATTGCCAGCCGGAAGCCTTTCCCAATCCAGGGCAGAAGCTGCATCCACAGCCCCCGGAAGCCAGCGCCCCGGGGGGGACTGTTTCTCCTGCTTAACACGTGCTTCCGCCCGGACCCGATTGCTGGGGACTCCCTCACCCCGGTCAGATGACGCCCTGCGAGGGCGGCGATTGGCTCTTGTCTCAGACCTTCCCTGAGGGCCCCCGCTGTGAGGCGGGAGTGACGGGCACTCAGCACGTGACCTCGGCGGTGAGCTTCTCCCCACACTACGCCCTGTAAAGATGGCGGCCGCCTATAAATACCCGCGCCGCTCGCTCCCCCTCACAGTTACGGTGCGTGCGGTTGCTGCTCCCGGGGGTGGCGGGGGGGGCATCCCCCGGGAGGCTGAGAGACGGGGCGAGCCGGAGCCACGGAGAAGCCAATCGCTGCTTTCTTTGCAGCCGCTTTGTACAGAGTCCGGCACATAAATAATATGCAAATTAGGTCCATGTGTGCGCCACGCCCCCTCCCCCCTCAGGCCCCTCCCCCCCGAGGCACTGGACTGTGAGGAGTGACCGGTGCACTGGGCCTCACACTGGACAACAGAGCAGTGACAGGTCACAAGATTCCTGTCTGTAAGACACTAAAGGGGCAAAACAATATACATCAATATAATAATAATAATACATCAATAAAGATCAATATACATCAATATACATCAATATAGATCAATATACATCAATATAGATTAATATACATCAATATAGATCAATATACATCAATATAGATCAATATAGATCAATGTAGATCAATGTAGATTAATGTAGATTAATATACATCAATATAGATCAATATACATCAATATAGATCAATATACATCAATATAGATCAATATAGATTAATATACATCAATATAGATCAATATACATCAATATAGGGCAAGCGCCCGCCAGGAAGGTGGAAGGCGCCTATAGCATTTCTTATGGCGCCTTTCAGGTCAGGAGGATGTCCCCTCCCCCCAAAAAAGGTGCTCCCACCTCCCCCCTCCCACCTCCCCCCTCCCCCTCCCCCTCCCCACCCCGGCTCGAAGTCAGGTTCCGCCACTGTCCAGCGCTCTGAGACGCTACCCTGCGTGGAGGGCGCTACATAAGTGTAAGTTGTCGCCGTCCTTCTTTCTCCACATCCGGTCCCTGACCAGGACCACCTTCCTCCATCTCCGCCCACATTGCCCACCTCCGACCGTACCTTACACAAGACGTTGCCGAAAAACCTTGTCCTTGTGTTCGTCACCTCCCGGCCTCGACTATTCAAATGCCTTCTTTGCCGGCCTCCCCAGCTCCACCGTCCACAATATCCAGCTGATCCAAAGCTCAGCCGCCCGCATGTTCACCTGCGCTGACCTCCAGACCCCATCGCACCAGGTCTACTGGCTCCCTATCACCAAACGGATCGATTACAATAATAATAATAATAATAATAATAATCCTTGCATTTGATATAGCGCTTTTCACGTCGGGAGGACGTCCCAAAGCGCTTCACAGAATAGACTGTAAAGTGAATTGACTGTATATTTGTGGGCGAACGCGGCAGCCAATTGCGCACAGCAATGTCCCACAAACAGTCGTAGATTGAAAATGACCAATTTATTATTGTTTTATTTTGGAGGGATTATTATTACCCAAACTGTCACATGTATCAATGCTGTTGGGCTCTGTATGAAGCAGAGACTGGATGCTGGTATTTGGGAAGAAAGGAAATCAAATAGCCAATGAGCCATGATGAAGGAAGAGATGGATGGAAATATCCTTTTTTTGGTCAGCCGTAACACTCATTTTTAAATCCCTTCACGTCCTGGCACTTTCCTATCTCTCCGACCGCCTTACTCCCCAAACCCACCGCCTCCGCTGGACTGGCTCTGGCCTCCTGCATGTCCCTGGTGTCTCCCGTTCCACCATCGGCGGCCGCGCTTTCAGCCACGACGGCCCGAAACTCTGGAACACTCTTTCTCTATTCCTCCATCTTTTCTCTCCTTCCCCATCTTCAGGTCACGCACAAAATATACAGTCAATTCACTTTACGGTATGAAGCGCTTTGAGACGTCTCGAAGACGTGGTGAGGCGCTAAATTAAATACAAGGATTATTATTTTATAATAATATAAAGAGACCTTTCACTTTGACTGTGCCTCCCCCCTCCTACCCTGCGTGAGGAGCGCTATATAAATGCAAATTGTTGTTGGAGCAATATCAAATATAAGGATTAGTTTTATTGTCTTGTGTTGCTTAATACTGCAAACTTCTGCAATGGAGGCACTGACACATCTCAGCCAGAAGGTGGCGCTAATGGCCAGG